AATAGATGGGTAGCTTAATTAATCTTTAGAGCCAGTATTAAAATTAGTATGTTGTCAAGGATTATTGAAGATCATCATAATTTTATTTTATGTAAAATTTATAAAACAAATATGTAATTAGTATTGAAATTTAGGTATTTCTTTGTCTGTTCAATCTTTGTATAGTAACAATTAATAGTTTATAAAACTCTCTAACTCTACTATTTATAAAGTTAAAGTTTTTTAAATAGAAGTGGAGATCTAACCTATAATAATAAATTAATAAGTTTTTACATACCACATTAAATAAATAACTCACTTTTAATTCAAAGACTCACGCTATATAAAACCAATTAAGATAAAATCTAAATCTACTAAATTACATAATTTTGTTAGATTTTACCAATTTTTGATTTGATTCATTTTTATAAACCAAAAAATAATTAACCATAGCCCACACAAAATTTTCAACATTTTGTACCAAGTCAGAATTTTTATTTGCTTGGAGCTTGAAGGAGAACTGTAGAACCGTGAAAAATGTTTGAATATTTTAATGAGTTGAAGTCATGGTACAGGTTCTATCTTATACACTGGCAACTGGGGCTGCTGCAGGATTTGGTGCTACCAGTGATATGCGGTCTGCATCTGAGGGACTTATTTCTCATAACTTTTTCAATAGGGGATATGCGGCCTCCGCCTTGGTCCTCCTCGGGTTCGTTTGCGCTGCATTCTTATCCATTTTCTCCTCTCATGCTCTTCCAAAGAAGGTCTAAGATTCATCACCTGCAGTCCAAGGCTTCAACAATGTCAATTAAGAATTTTATACTTTGATTATGGGTCCATTGCTTTGCTTCCTTGTTTCATTTCTTTGTAAAATGAAATACTTCATTTCCTATCTGATTAAGAAGAACCATTAGTCGTGGAACTCAAAAAGATGATTTTATTGGGATTTCTCAATAGTTTGTTGGCATACTCTTGATTCTTGAAGTTGTATTTGCTTTCTTTCGCACTTCAGGCATTCCCATGTCAAGTATTCAAGACTGCAATTTGGACACTCTTTAGGCTTAATATCAATGGAAATGAAAATGAATGTTAATCTTTATATTAATGGTTGAATATTTTTTGGGTGAACGAAAAGTTTAGAGGAGGCACTACAAGGAAACAGGTTAACTGTGATGGAAAAATTAGTCTTAAAAATTAAATTTTTTGGTCATAAATTATATTTGAATCTAAAATTTAGTTGGTCATTGTCCGTTACAAATATTGAGTCACTAAAAATAATAGTAACTAATTTTGGAATCGTGACAACAAATCATGATTTTAGTTACGGTGAAGATGAACACAATTACTATCGTACTTATAACGAATTTTTGCATCACAATGATCACTATTTGTGACAAAATAATTAAACACAAAAAGGAACCTCATTTGTAACATGTATAACTCGTCACAAAAGAAATTGTTTGTGACATAAAATTTGGTTACTAATATTAAATCATTTGTG